CTCCTCCATCTGCAGATATTATGCAGTAATGCAACATTTGATAACTAAGTGGAACTATGAGAATAAAACCATCGGTTTGACAGCGAGGTCATAAATGGAGGTTCAAATAAACAGTTTAAGAGAGTCTCCTGAAACCTTACTACGAGTTTTTTTAACTTTGGCATTCAAAATGTCGGGTGATAGAGACCTCGCCTACATGGAGACGAGGCAACCAGAGCTTCATGGGGAGTACACTCACTTTGAGTGGTTTAATGTCGCACGTCGGCAGGGAGTGCTGTTCCCCTCCCGTCATACTATAGTACACAACTAGAGGTGGGAAAAAAAGTGGATTCATGAAAAAAAAATCAAGATTCTTATAGTCGGAGATTTTATTTGATTCATAATTTCCAAATTATTATTATTTTTTTTTTGGGCTAGTCATTCACTCTCTACTAAGTGCTAATGCTAGCTCTTTAACTCAGTAGAATGATAACATGGAGCAGCAATAAATTCAGCCAGCCTCACAGATGACTGGAGCAGATCCTGAAGTATGTACTCATTCAAAAATAGACTTTGACTCCATGGATCAATTAATCGTTTTGAATCAAAAATAAATTCTGAATTGAACCGTGACCCCAAAATCCAAATCAAATCATGAGCGACCTAAAGATTCTTAACCTTATATACAACGCGCCTCAAGTTGGATGACGCAAGCCCCACCGCTGAGCCAGTATCTGACGTTTCCCCGGGTGGTCGTGGACCCTCTCGTCTACACGCCATGTGCATATCCACACACCCCAAAATGTCTGCTGGAATTCTGAATCTATGAAGGAAGATTTCTTATCTATTAGAGTCTTATTAAATCCCTGCATCAGGTTTGTAAGATGAATAAACGGCAGAGACAGCGAGGTGTCACTTTGTCATGTTTGTTTTTTAACTGTGTTCATTTGTTTCTTGTCGGGTTCTCTGCTCTCCTCTAAAGAACAAAAAAATAATTAACAAGGTACAACAGAAACAAGACCCAGGTAGTAGATAACAGATTGTTCTTCTAATCATTCCTGCTGGATGTTCCAGCTGTGATCCTACAGCACACAAGCTTGTGTATCAAGGAGTGTCTGTGTCTCTCTGTGTGTGTGTGTGTGTGTGTGTGTGTGTGTGTGTGTGTGTGTGTAAATGGTTGGCCAACACCCATTGTAACATCAAAGATTTATGACAACAAACAGCACAGTCCATTATTCCACTTTGTGTCACATATGCAGGATGGGGGTTAAGTGCTGCTCTGCGTGTGTGTTGTTGTGTTTCTGTGCACTTGTGTTTTGTTTGTGTGTGTGTGTGTGTGTGTTATACTCGCAAATCATCTCTTATTGAGAACAAGTTTGCGTCTCGAGATCACATTTGTTGTAAATCGTCGCAGTACAAATAAAGATTGGTTGATTTATTGATTGAAGTTTATCCTCTGAATTCGTTAAGGTGAGTGTACGTGTCTATAAACAGTATGTTCCTCGATTTGGAGACACACTCACACCCTCACACCAACATCCGCAATTGACCACTTGGCCTTGTAAAGAGCCTGCCATGTTTAGTGGATCCTGGAGTCCATTACCGAGGCTGACATCAGTCACCTAAACGCCTCAGTTCTCTTGTCAAAGATGAAACACCCCCCCCCAAGGATGCACCACATTGTCCGGGAAGAGGAGCGGACATTTTTCTGGCACAGTTGGAGGTTCATCATTTGTTTTCTGGCTTCTATAGACCGTATATAGTGTGTAGAGGGGGATTAAACATCTTGTTCAATCAAATGCAAAATCTGTCATAGTGGTGTGTGTTGAAACTTCTCTCAAAATAGGGGCTATGTATGTCACACCTAAGTTAGTAATGTCAGTAATGCATCCTGGACTTAATAATAATTAGTTTAAGACACTCAGGGCATGAGTCACACAAGGATTGTGCAGCTAAACCTGTGTAAAGAAGACAAAAAGGCACTGAATCCACAAAGAACACACAAAGGGTTACATGTACCCCGAACTGCGCTGCAGAGCAAACACAACTCTGTGCATAAGAGCTGTTTGCACATATTTAAATCAGCCATTATGCAGTCACTTGGGGGCTGATGGCAGCTCAACCCTGACACATGCTAACACACTTTATCGACTTGTGTGGAGACAGTCTCGAGTCGTGCAGGATGCCGACAAGAGCGTTATTCGCTGGATGAGCTGCTCTTTCTCGCTGTCTCCATCCAGGGAAGGGCTTTTTTAAGCTGTGAAAGTTATATTACCTGACTGAACTTTGGTAAGAATTGTCCCCTTGCCTCCTAGCTCGTCATCCATGTCGTATGACTGATCTCCGTCAGAACGAGAGAGCAGCTCCATGCAGCAGAGAGAGGAGATCGCTGACAGCTCAATCAGACACAATACGGGAGCAAACTGCACGGAGCAGGACAACTTTATCCACATTAACGCACTTGGAGCGGATAGCGGGCACAACTGATGAGCCTTGTGCTGTTGGCTATTAGCTACCACACTCAGTGCTTGGTAGATTCCCCATCAGATCTTTCTGTCTACTATCTGTGTGCTTTTTTTAATCAAGGCCTGATTTGGCATGGCTTGCTTGATGACCAAACTTGCAGGAGTTTGTTTTAAAGGTCAAATAGTAGCCTAAGTCTGTAGGGACTTTGTCGTCGGTTCAAGTCCTGCTACGCACCAAAGTATGGAAGTTGACTCACTTCCAGAGCACAGGCGAGGTGCCCTTGATGCTGGCACTGAAACTCAGACAGTTCTGGCACGCTCCATGTGTAACAGACCCCCCTCCCCCCGACTCACTCTGATGTCTCTCTATTAATGCGTGTCCATAGGTCCTGTGTCTGTGTCTGTGCATGTATTTCAGGGCTATGTGTCTGTCAATAACAAAGTGTAAAACCAGAATTTCCCCTCAGGGATTATTTAAGTATGTCAAATATGACATCAAATAAAATGACCCGGCCATGTCTATGAAGGTAATCAATCATTTAAAAAGGAGATTCTGAATTAAGAAGAGTAATTACAGTAATTACAATTCATTTTGATGTGTCACCTTGCCTCTGAGCTCATCATACATGTAGCATGACTGATCCCTGTCAGTATGAGAGAGCAGATGCTGTCAGCTTAAAACTATACACGTCCCAATACAAACAGAAAAAAAGATCATTTTGGAGAAGTTTGCGGCCAACTTTTAGCTTTAGAACAAGTTCAATGTCAAACACTGCCTGAAGTTTCAGACTCTATTCATATTAAATTCATTTTGGGACGGGGAAATACTTTCTGCTTTTCAAACAGGGTGATGTTTCATGTGACTGGACTGCCTAAACGGACATCCCTGTCTACTATAAGCTTAAAACATCCACATCAAACTTCTCCTCCACCCAGCTGCTCGCACACGTCTCTATCACATCCACATTGTCCTCTTACAAACTAACTTTACGCAGCAAGGTTAGCAAGAAATGTTTGAGGGAATTACTCAAAAGCAACAGAATCCTTGATGTCGTTTCCACAAACAAAATGCCAGTTAAGATTTGACTTAATTAATGGCTGTAGGAGAGAGATGTATGGAGCTTATAGAAGGCGCGGGTTCCATTCGAGAAACATGAATCACAGCCAAAGCTTCCCGAGCGAGCGAGCGGGGAGCAGCGTGGATTGTCTTTGAGCCCAGAACAGTGTGGGAGGAGATATTTGTGAAGCGTCACATCTTATTCTGGGAGAGATATCACCGTCTTTATATCTCTCACTTAATCTCCCACCTCTGTAATATTTACTGAAGCCTACAGATACATCATTTCTAACCGACTGAGTCGAACTAATTATTTAACCTTTACCCGTCAATGTAGGCGTCTGGGCTCAAGGAATTTACTGCGTGACAGTTTTCTTTATGGTGAGATTTCTATTGTGCCAACCTGCTCCCACTATGGAAAGCAGCACAAACCCGGAAAAACCCTGTTCTGTCGTTGCAGGCATAGACAGTTTGTGCAGTTTCTCCCACAATGCATCAGGAAAGTGTTCGACAGGAAAATCCAAACATCTCTCACCACACAGAGGCGACGAGAGGTGAAATCGGATGCAAGGAAATTAAGTTCTTTGGACATGATGGGCTGGTTTGAAACATGCACTTTTACCAAACAAAGCACAGATGACATGCAGTAATGGCCTGAGGAAGATGACCTGAAATAAAACGGGGAAGGGACACCAGAAGGATGCAAAAGCAACCTTTTTTTTTTTTTTTGAAGATGCATTTACACCTTTTAATGTTTTGCACATAATGAGGATGCAACTACTCGATGAGGTGAATATTCTGCATCAGGAAACATGGAAACTTTAAGGAGGATGCACTAATGATGACACTACGGCGAGGGAGGAAGGACTTCTGTATTGGTTGTTCAATCCCTCACTGACACTGACCTCTGCTGTGGGGTGACACTCTGACAGAAAAAGGATGTGTAGCTCCCAAAAACATGCTGAATTTTGCATGACAGCTATTTCTTTTTTTTGACAGATTCATGCTGCTAGTGCTTTATGTTTGTTCAAATGTAAGATCAGATGTGTGCTGCGTGTGCTAGATTTGAACTCTAATCCCAATTTAAATGTTTGTGGGAAGTTTTGCTAAGAGGACATGCATCCATACATTTGGTCTCCCTCCATTTTCGAGTTAATTTCAGTCATAAGGATTTCCTCCTTATCACGGGGAAGATACCAAGATGGATGATTTGAGATCCTGAGAAAACACCTGGATGTTAGTCATTATCACAGGATTACAGAGTAGAATCAAATGTGTGGATGTATGTCCACAAAGAGCTTCTTAACTTGGATTAATGTTTCTTTGGGTTTGAACCTTTCCATCCTGTAAAGATGGGATATGTCACATCCGTTTTCCTGGTGTAGCTTTTGGTCAGAGGGGACATTTGGAAAACATTAAAAAAAAGCTCAAATGCGAGGTGAGAGTCAAAGTGAGGGGCGGAGTGGATGTGTTGATGTCTAGAAATAAACATACAATACCCCACGCTCAGAGTTCTCCATGTGTGAATCTCTCTATCGGAGCAAGGGCAAGGCAGGTACAGGACGGGACAGGAAGGGGGCGGAGCCAAAGACAGGAAAACAGGAAGATAGAGAGAGACATTAAAAAAAGGGGTGTGAGGTTTGTGGTGAGAAACATTTGTTTCATGTGTGTTTTTATTCCCTCATGTTTGGTTATTCTCGTTAATCAAGATGACAGTGACTCTGAACGGCTGCAGATCAAAGTGCAGCTCATCGTGTGGTAACTTTTCTAAAGTGTTCTGATCCCAGGCTCGTCTGTTCCGGGAACTGAAACATGACGTCTTTCACCTTCTCAAAACCTCGACAAACACAAGCGCTGTTATTTTGCCCATAATGAAATCCCTGCACTGGCTCCCTCTGGCCTATAGAAATGCTCGGCGTCACTTTCAGATGTCTATGATGTTGAGGTTAAGCACTCGCTGACCTTTGTCTGTAAAAACGGCTATATGAATAAAACTTTCTTACTTTCTAAGATTTTATTTTTGGGTATTTTGTGCCATTATAGGAGAGATAGGACCGTGGATAATGTCGGAAATTAGGGAGAAAGAGAGAGAGAGTGGGGAATGACATGAGGGAAAGGAGCCACAGGTCGGATTCAAACCTGGGCTTGGAGGACTGTAGCCTCAACACATTGGGTGTGCGCACTAACCACTGTGCCACCAGTGCCCCATGAAGTTTACTTTTTACTTACTTTAAGGTAAAAGAGCTGTTTTTCATTTTTGTTTGGACCAAAAAGTGAGATTTTGAAAAAAAGTGTGATTTTGAATCAAGAAACAGGAAGTGACACTGAAATGAAGTGAAATTTGAAGTCATGAGCATGTATATCAATAGTATCTATGAAAGTTAAGTTTGAAATAAACAACTCAATACTTGTTCCCTAATGAAAGGTTAATTGCTCATTGATGACACACCTACTCCAGTCATGTCCCCGATATCCTACTAAGTTACATAACCTACCCTGTGTCCTTCAGCTGCCACCGTTAAAGTTTAACATGCAAGACATTTTGATTTGTTAATGGGGGCATTTTTACTTTAATACCATGAATGAATTCAGCACAAAATCCTGATCTTTACTTTAGTATGTTTGGGGTCAGGGCATAAAGACCATGTTTATTTTCTGTTCGAAAAGGAGACAGCCGTTTTTAATGTTCCCAATGACTATACATGAACATAAATGAATAATAAATACAAATAAGCTCACGAAAAATATATGAGTCTGCAGGTAAGAAAAAGGTAAAGAAGGTCAATCCTCACTCTTTAAAGGTCACATATTCTGTAAAATCCACTTCTCCATGTTCCTCTAACACTAATATGTGTCTCTTGTCCGTCTACAAACCCTCCAATGATGAGAAAAGTCCATCCTCTGCGTCTTTTGCCTGCTCCACTTTTCAGAAAATGTGTGCCCAATCAGGCCGTTTGGAGATTTTCCCTTCATGACATCACAAAGGGCAGTAACCCCTCCCCCAGGTGGGTGACACTCCTACAGCCAGGTGTTTGTTCTGCCCTCTGAGTCTGCCTTCTCATCGTAAACTATAGGACATGGAGCAAGAAAGCCCGATACACCCAAGTCCTTCCAGAGAGGGGGCGTGGTCAGACACAGCTCATTTACATATTTAAAGGTACAGACACAGAAACAGCCTGTTCTGAGCAGGGCTGAAATAGAGGGGTTTATAGGCATGATCAAATACAGGATCAGAGTGGATTTAGAACAAGAAACTTCACACACATGTTTTGAGGAGCTCTGAGACTTATTTACACTGAAGAAGAGGAGGAGAATATGTGACCTTTAAATTGGTGACCAGTCAAATGCTAAACCTTCCTTGACGGATATTCATACTTTTATCACAGCATTGATATCACAGCAATAAATTATCTATTGGCCTCAGATTAAACATAGTAACATTTTTATGGGTACTATAAGGGAGAAAATATGACACGTGGAGTGTGGAGTAAATATGGGATGTTTGATTGTAATAGTGACTGCTGAATTAGTGAAGATGTTAAGAGGCAGCTGGAATGGTAAACTGGAATGAATCAGCCCTCAGAGCTCAGGCAGCGATGAATGCGCCTTATGTGCATTCATCAAAAGTATGATGTTGAGCGCATACACTGTCCATTTGTTTTTTGTTACCAGAAACCATTTTGCCAAGAAAAAGTACAACAGTGTCAGCTTTTTCATTGAATATGTGTTTTTACTTTGTCTCATTGATTAAGGACTTTCTTTGAAATAATTTGCATGTATATTGGGGTGCGGGGTAGCCTAGTGGTTATGTGGCTCTCCCTAACGTACAGTGGCTATAGTCTCCAGCGTTTTCAGCCCAGCGATGAGCTGTGTCCATTTGAATTATGGGTCGGACCATTTGAAGAAAATAGAGACAAACTCTCTGCAGTTTGTGTTGACTCATGAAGTTGTAAACTGTCACTATGATGTTCTTAACAAAGCAACTAAAGAGCCAGATTCATGAAAGAGATGTTTGAGTTTGTGTTTGTTCGAGAGCAATGTGTCAGTGTTTGTCTCGCTCCACACACCCATCTGGATTCCCTCCTGTGTGTGTGTGTGTGTGTGTGTGTGTGTGTGTGTGTGTGTGTGTGTGTGTGTGTGTGTGTGTGTGTGTGTGTGTGTGTGTGTGTGTGTGTAACAATCCCTGGCTTGGCCCCTGTCAATATTGGCTTCAAATACCCAAGGAGGGGTATCCGGTTGTCCGCACACAATCAGAAACCAACAAGCAGACACTCAGAGGGATGGTCCAATGGCACTGATGTTGATGGCACTCGTATTAAGATCCAGCTAAACAGGCTAAAAACATCACAGCTCAACGTAAAGATATGTACGCTTATATAAAGTCATGGAAAAACATCGATGCACCTCACACACACACACACACACACACACACACACACACACACACACACACACACACACACACACACACACACACACACACACACACACACACACACACACACACATGCGAGCTGTTTCACGTCCTACACTAACAACATCTTAGTCATCACTGGAACAATATCATAAATTCTGAGCTTCAGATTGCCGTCTGTGAGGATGCATGTGGATGTTTGTTCAATGTGCAAATATTGGATTCTTCCATTTGTGTTTGCATGTCACATGTTTATATGTTTGTGTATATGTGTTTGTATGTGTATGTATGTCTATGTGGGTAGGCAAAAATGACTCAGGCCTACACATCAAATAAATCGTCTGACTTTCCAAAAATGAAAAATAAAATTCCGTTGTATAGGATGCACTTTTGATATCTATTTTTTTATCAAATAAAGTTGGTTGTGTCCTATCGGCATGCACCGTCATTACCTTATTACCTCATTACCTATCTATAAAACATTTGATTCAGCACAAAAAAAGCGTTAAAAAAACTGAGCAAAAGGCGACATAATTTTCTCCCGGAGTCAAGGAACTACACATCCCACAATGCATTGCGAATGATCCCTCTTCTTCTTAAATGTAACTTTCGTCGTTGTTATCGTGTTTATACCGTTAATACACTTGTCTTGTACTATGTTGTCTGTGTGCTGTTGAATATATAAATTACATTGTGAGTAAATTTCATGTTAGCTAACTAACTAGCTAACTAACTAGCTAGCTTGCTAGCGAGACTATCCCTTTAAATTCGGTGTCGAGAGGTGCTTGCGTGTATTAGCTTTCAGTGTAGGTACAAGCAGTAAACGTACACACTACGTCCTGCAGTGAGGGTGAGCTTCTGGGGGCGATGAGTCCAGGAGGAGGGGCTCAGTTTGAATGTTGTGTTTACAAACTGCAGTGAAATGCTCTTGACTCCGCCTTTAAATTGTTTAATTTTATTTTAGTCCGCCCATTATGATAAGTCTGTTTTTTATAAATGCTGACCTAGACATGAAAGAGGTCTAAACACTTTAAATAAAACAACAAAAAGAGGATGCAGGGTCCAAATTTGAGATACTTGGATGAAATGAAAATAAAGGTGAAGTCAGTCTGAGTGACATTTTCTCAATAAGTCAGCTTCTGCTTCTCGAGCATCACACAAAAAGAAAAAGATCAGCAAGTGTTTAGGGAGCATCAAGCAAATCAATTATTCATGATTTTCCTCTCAACCTTTTTATGAAAAGTGTATCTTCCAGCACGGGTTGTTTGAGCCCTCGGGGTCCACCTACTTGTAGAAACATCAAATCCCCATTAAGGTGTCAGGCATGTCCGGCGTGCTTCACTTTTACATTATCAGAAACATCGCCCAGCTTTGGCTGAAATAGGGACGAGTCCATTTGGAACACATGTACGGCGCTCTGAAAGATTAATTGGACAGTTTTACTCGCTCACTTCCAGACTAAGTTTTGTCTCAGAATAATTCATGGACGTTGAAAGGCATGTAAAACACTTTCAATTGAAAAAAACACTTTTTCTGCCACCCGGACGGCCGGCTAAAGCGTGTGCGATGAAATATTAATGAAGCCTGAAAACGCTCCATGATACGGTAAACCTCCCACTGTCCAAATCCATTTGTCTGCCCCATTTATCAATCTTCCCTTCTATCTCCAAGACTCTTCACTGACTCATTTTATCACCATTTTATAATTATTGTTAGTATTTTTAGTAAAGTAAACATTAACATGTACAGTGCCCTGTGGTATACCTTTCACCATTTCTACTTTGCAACAGAAATAATCCTCCCTACTTTTTCTTTCTCTCCGTCTGCATTGTTGCCATCTCTCCTCTTTCTCATACTTCCACTCTTTATTGGTGTTTGCCCTCTTTTTGGCCTTTCCATGTATATATTATGCTATATTATGCATGTTAGCCTGATTAGCATCTGATTAGCATATCTATTTGACCCCGAGGTTAACCAGCAGTGGCTTGTTTTCATATTTTTTAGTCCTTGTACGTGTCCTTCTTTCCTTCATTTTCTTTTTACCTTCTGGTTCTGCTCCTCACCTGTCTTCTCTACCTCCTCCCCCCTTCTGAAGTCATACTTTTAAGGTTTCTCCTGGCATTTTCCTCTTTGCTCTCTCTCTGCATCTCAGTCTCTTTGTAAAGTTGTATTCAGATTTCCAAACTAGGGTTAGGGTTAGGGTTAGCCTAAAACCAATAATCTATCTGCAATGTCACCTCCCTGTTTTTCTCTTTGTGCATGAGTTTTATGTTTCCCCTGTTGTGTCTAAAGGCCCAACTGAGCTTTGAATTTGTGCTGAAAATAATAATGAACTCAGCTTTAAAATCTGCAGATGACTCATAGGTGTAATACTGCTTATTTGAATGTCACATAAGCGTTTTTAGATCACGCTCATTTTGTGTCAATTTTCATGCAATGTGAAGCTACAAGCTAACTAAAGAGCACTAACATTAGCCCGCTTCACAACAATGAAGGACACAGGTGATTGCAGCTCAAGCCGAGAACAACTTTGTCAGCTGCTTGCGCTTAATGGTGTTTAATTCTGCCGCTTCCATTTGAACACGAGTGGGGAGGGGTTGGAGGTGTGTGGCTGGAGGAGAGCAGAGGCTGAGCAGAGGCAGAGGTTCCTTTAATCTAACAGGCATAAGATGTAAAATATTTCAGAATGGATCTGGCTTTCTGCATTGTGCTATGATGCCACATGGTTTGCTGTTGGGTTTGCGGTTTATGCATGTTAGTTCACTAAACATGTGTCTGGCAGTGACATCATACGAGTGGTCTATCAGTCAAATAATATACTGCAGATGTTCCTTCTAGTCTTGTGACCTCTCAAAAAGCCTAACACTATGTGCCATTCACACACACATGCACATTCCCATTTGCACACCAAGAGAAGAAGGGATTGAGTGTCAGGCCCAAGGACACTTTGACAAGCGTGCTGAGTGAGCCGGGATCAAGCGTCCAATGTTCTGATTTATTGATTTCTATCTACGGCGCCACATGCAGACAACTTCACATGATTTTGCGATGGCTCTTCAGGTTCTTCCTCAAGCACTATGAAGGTAGATATGTTGCAAAATAGGAGAGCTTGTAGAATGTGATGTGACAACTTGAAGGAAAAATAAGTGAACTTGTATATAAAAATGTTTACTTGTATAAAAAAATCTACACACGTGAAATGAATTTCGTGTCACAAATGGAAAAAAAAAGGGAAGTCTCAGAAAAAATATATGCAAATGTGTAGACTGATATTTACACATACAAAAATGATAGCTGCAAACTTCACATTTTTTTCCATTTGTGACACGAAATTCATTTCATTTCGTGTGTGGATTTTTTATAAGTCTTTTCTTTTCTTCAAGTTCTCACATCACATTCTACAAGCTCTCCTATTTTGCAACATATCTACCTTCATAAAGTACTCTCAAACACGATCCGATTCTAGTCGTTGCGGCCAGCTGCCATGAAACACCGGATGTTACGTCAAAGGCCGCTACATAATGAAGCGTGAGCTGCTACTGAAAGCTGCCGTACTGTTGCTGTATGTGCTGCTGTGATAAAAACATCATGGAAATTATACTCGGATACATTAGCTCATCGGTAAACATATTCTTTTCCTCAGGTTGGTTTCACCCGGTTGCTTAACTCTTGGAAAACTCGAGTCCGTTTTCAGCGGGGGCCCGCTAGCCTCACTGTCATCTTTAGTTGGTATTTTTCTGTAACTTTTTGTTGTGCTGCTGCCCCTCTTGGCCAGGACACTCTTGTAAATGAGATTCTTAATCTCAATGCGGTTCTCTTGGTTAAATAAATTCAAATTAAAAAATAAATAAATTTAAAGCTGAGGAACAGCATGATCAATTATTATGTTGTCCGTCTGAAACCAGCCCAGCTACTTAGTTTGCATCCTTATTCATCCTTCGCACTTTGCAGTCAGACCAAGACGTTCTTCTAGCTTCAATTTCCATGTTGCTCAAGTCTTCATAGTGTGGTGGAAATAACCGTTTTATCACTTGGTACATTATAAAATGTACCATGGTGACGATGTTGGAACTCAGATCTGTCAGACCAAACCTTCTTGGTATTTTTAAAATTATCTCAGGAAAGCTTCAGTTTGGTGTGAAAGTAACAAACTAATCAAAAATCAAAATGAAAAACTACACAAATGTGCGTTGAAGCAAATCAAGATGTAGAAGCGTGATGTGACTGGAGGGGGGGGGGGTGGATGGTAGACGAGAGATGAAGCATCGTAGAGAGTTGGAGAGAGATAAGGTAAAGAGAGGTGATGGTGGCAGGCCTGTGTGCATATTCACAGAGACGAGACGCTACTTATGTCCACTAGCTGCAAAAACAAAAATGTTAATCTGAGGTTTTAAACTCTGGGAGCCTGTTTTTATCACTTGTATAGTTTTAAGGGTTAAGTACATTTGTCCAAGTTAGAGACCTTCAAATGCATACAAATCTGTGATACCTGCATTTTCTTATAAGAGCTTATCTTAAAGAGCGATTCCTCTTGGATGAAACCAAACACTTGTTAAGTTTTGATTCCCCTTAATATCCTCAACTCCAAAATATCCCCTTGTCCAAATACTTAAGTAAGCGTCTGTCCCTCCCTCCAGTAACAGAACGTCCTGCCTTTTACTTTGAGCTGCATTTCAACCATGAGGACACCTTAATGCACATCTCATCTTCCTGTCTGCCTGTAGATCTATACAGTCATATGGTTTGAAGGTGCTGAATACAGTCTTTTATTTATCATCACATACATTTGCCCAAGTGCTTTTATAAAACGACAGAGTGGTCGTCAGGATGATTGGTAGCCTCCATTTTGGAGCCATCGCTGCTCTTATTTCTGGCTTCTTTTAATCAGCTGTTGGCTCATCAGCTGTCAACAGATACGATAAAGGTTTGATTTGGGCTTAACAGTGGCGGAACTTCCTGATTTCTATGGACTCAATCTCAAAGTTTGCCCCTTTATTTGGACCTCTGAGCTCTCGAGGACACTTCTGGTGCCGTACGATATGTACCTGACTCATGAGCCTGTCTTACACATGTGTTCTTGAAGTGTAAGAAAGATATCTGAATTGGGTACATGGACATTTATTTCGCTTTTTGTCTTTCTTGGTCAAAAGGAAATGCCACAATATGTAATTACCTAAAGTGCAGCCTTCAGAGTTTTCTGCCAGAAAGCTTATTTACGTATGTGGTAGATAGTTCTTTTAGTTCTGAATGAACCTCAGAGTCGATTTTAAGTTATGTGCATGTCCAAAACATGATCTGTCCAGTCACCACATTGTCTTGGACATGTTCAGATAAATGATTGTTGTTTTGGCTTCAAAAAAGTTAAAGGAGCAATATGTAACTCTGACACCAAGTGTTGAAAATGGGTACTGCAGTCCAAATTCTAAACATTGTAGAGAGCTGTCTCCCTCCGCCCCCTACTGGGCTTTCTTTTTTCGATCTAAGGAATACATGTCCATGTACCCAATTCTGTACATTATATTATAAAATTACTGTGCAAACTTGTTTTTATTTTGAACGGTAGGGCGATCCCAAAGCTGTGGCCCATTAAGTGGTCCTTAAGGTTTGGAAGTCTTGGAGTCCAAAAATCTGGATTTGATTGAAGCACTGAAACGTCATCGAGGCTACCAATCATCTTGTTTTTTTAAGAGAGTTGCAGTTAGAAATAAATGCATGTGTTGATGACTGATTCAGTTCAAAGGCTAGATAAAGCACCTTAAAAGCCGCCATATTGTCTTTGTGTGGTGGTTGTGATGAACCTACCTGCGTTTGAAGGTGAGGACGACTCCGAGGAGGATGATGATGAACATGAGGATCCCCGCGATCACGCCAGCCATCTTCACCGTGCTGTCCACCTGCTTCTCCGGCTCCATCGCATCCGAGTCTTGGGTGGAAGCACCTACACACGCACGCAAACGCGCACACACAAGCACACAAGTATAAACACAGTCACATCGGTAGCTACAGTGTACAAATGATCAGACACAAACTGTCACATAAAAAGGACAATACACTCACTCGCTCGCACGCACGCACGCACGCACGCACGCACGCACGCACGCACGCACGCACGCACGCACGCACGCACACACACACACACAGACACACACACACAAAGCAGGCACTTGTGCATGCAAATACAGAAGCCAGCCTTGATGAACACAAACACACACACACACACACACACTCTTCACAGAACACACACATAAAGAAACAGTGAATGTACTTGATCCCAAGGTGAAGATAACACTTCATGCATATCGCAAAGAGCCTCAACACTATGTATACACAATGCATCAGAATCATGCAGAAAGAAAAACGTACAGAACACATTCTGATTTCAGGGACACAAGTGAAAAGTTAGTTTAAAAACATATCATGAAAAGGCGGGGTTAACTTTAATCAGCCTATCAGTTTCTCCAAAAAACGAGAACTCAGACTCAACATTGAAGACCTATTTTTGTACAGGAAGTCCATGCCTAGTCCATGGACTAGGATGTTTTAGAGAATCTCATTGGGACAGGGATCAGGGACTACATAAAGGTTCCTTCTCTGGGGGTAACAATTCCTAAAAGTAGTGGTTTTGCAGCATTAAACGTTTCTGATTGGTTGAGAACATGTTTAGATTTTGAACATGTTGGAAGACGAACGTTTGTGATAATCACGGGTTCTTACATCCCCGTGGAAATGGAAAAAAAAGTGGGCTTTTGTTTTTTGCGCCGGCAGCACTGCACCACTGCAGCACTGCACCACTGCAGCACTGCAGCACTGCACCACTGCACCACTGCACCACCTTATTTTCAGAGAGCTTGTCGCCAGTGGTAACTGTTGCTAGGTTACAAAACTTGGCTTGCGGAAGGAACTACGGCGTCCCTTGCTAGTGACTGTGAGCTTTTATTATTGGCTTTTATTTGAGGAAATATTTAACCAAGATGTAAAGGAATCTTGTTGACAAAGATGACATCAGACATCCCGCCCCGTGCCGAGTGCATACAACGTCAGGAAAAAGCTGACACAGAGGGCTTTCCTGCGAATGGTATGCCAAGTGCTTTAAACGCTGAACTGCACTGGTTTTGTAAAGAAAATGGGCGATGCTATCGCAAAAAAAAAAAAACTGTGTTAGAGGACACAGGTCGTGACAGTGAGCTGGGGGAAGCTTTAAGTCAATCAAGTTGAAGCTTCCAGAAATAATACCTACATTTATTTTGGTGGAAACGCAGCCTAAAAGTATCCGTCATAAGCTAAGCTAAGTTTTTGTTGTTCACGATATGGTTTAGTCCAATTTTTTTTCGCAAATCTTCTTCTGTTTATTTATAAACGGGAGCACGCTAAGAGGTAGAGAGCGAGCAGGAAGACAAGGAGGCGCGTGATTGGTTCATTAGATTGGTACCTCGTGGCAGTCATTGGTTTAAGTTTTTACAGGCTTACAACTACAGCTACAGATGACAGATTTTCCTTTTTCCTTTTTCAGAGAACTTGAGTTATTAATTTCTGTCAGGACCTGAAGACAATTTCAAACAAAATCTTAAAAAGTGAATCTGGAGGAAAATGACCAACCCTGCCTTTAACAGCGGATAAAAAAACAAACATCTTAGAGCCATGACACAATTACGCCCCAAATAGAACTTCCTGTATTCAGTTCGGTTTACCTTGAAGTAATAAAGTGATAAATCTATAAAACGAGAAACAGGCTGAATGTGATGCAGAATGCAAACAACGCGGATTCTTCCATTCACGAATACTGAGAATGTCCAAGGACAAACACAACACAAACACAGACGTTATACAAAGACATGAAGGTTTAAACTCATGCACACATGCACACAGAGAACGTGGCTCATGCAAGACTGCTCTGCTTCACTCAAACACACAATATCAACCTGAACAGGGATTCTTTTTTAAAGAAAACAGCAAACAAATGAACAAACAGCAGATGGAAAACAGAACGAGGAGCAGCAAGGTCTGTGTTTTGGTGAGAAGGACGATACACATGGAGACAGAGAGGAGCTCTGCTATCACTGCATGGTTTGATGAAGTGTTGAGGTGGTGACGGTCAGTGGAAACAGGAAATGGGAAGAAAGAGAGAGAGAGAGAGAGAGAGAGTGTGTGCTCTACTTTCTGCATTGACTCAAACAGACTTTTTTGTCTTAATACAATGTCTGTGTCTCTTCCTGTCTGAGCTGAATTGTTCTGTTTTTAATGTTGTGCAGCGTTGTTGCCTCACAGTGAGGAGGTTCCTGGTTTGAATCCCCGTCTGACAGGAGCCTTTCTGAGTGGATTCTGCATGTTCTCCCCGTACATGTGTGGGTTCTCTCCGGGTACTCCGGCTTCCTCCCACAGTCCAAAGACATGCTCGTTAGGTTAACTGCTGACTCTAAATCGTCCGTAGGTGTGAATGTGAGTGTGGCTGGTCATCTGTCTCTATATGTCAGCCCTGTGATTGGCTGGTGATCAATCCAGGGTGTAACGCCGCCTCTCGCCTGATGACAGCTGGGATCAGCTCCAGTTCCCAGCGACCCCAAACAGGACCAGGTACAGATAATGGATGGATGTTTTGTATGTGTTCTGTGTTGTTTTGAATCAAATCCTGGTTTGAATCCCCGTCTGACAGGAGCCTCTCTCTCCCTGTGAAGTCTGCATGTTCTCCCCGCGCATGAGTGGGTTCTCTCTTGGTATTCATTTGCATCCTGTTTTCTATCCCAATTCTGCAAAAATCAAAAGCCTCATAGCCTAAATCTTAACTTCTTCTGCTACTTTTAAGGAGTTGGTGTTCATTGAAAGATTGCAAGTGTTACTATTTGGCATTGTTCTTTTTTTAGGATCTATTTCTTACAGGTCGGAGTGAAAATGAAGAATTCAAGGTACCGAGGTACGGAAATCTGCTAAATAATTTCAATGCTAAACAAACCAAGGAAGACATTTTAAAATTTAAAATTTCAAAATCTGGTCCGAGACAGGTTTGCAAAGACGTAAAAGGAAACATCAACAAATTGTTTTTCTTTTTCAAATGAAGCATTGAACATAAAGCTCAAAGGATGAATGCAAAACCTAAAACGTAAACATGACAGTTAAATAAAAGCCGAGCGAATAGAGAGCGACACGGAGCCCTCAGGCAGAGGACCCTGAGATCCGACATCAGTGCACCTGTTCTCTCACAGACGTGCACCAAGCAGCCTCTTGTTCTAATCTTGATAGACAAAGACAGACGATTAATAGAGTAATACCGCTGCGTGGGAGTTCAGTTTAATCCCCTGTCTCTCTCATCTTCGCCCCCCTCTGCAATAACAACAACAGCACCTAACCTTGGCACGCTCGATAATAGTTGCCACAGTCCTCAGCGCCTCTGTGACGAGATGTTCTTTAAAAAAAAAAAAACCCTGAATGCATTCAATGACAAAACACATCCAGATCTTTTTGTTGAAGCTCCTCGTGAAGCTGCAGCTATCATCCCTGACATTTTCCAAAAATTAAGAAAATACATCCCTCACTTCTCTGTTCTTTACTTTCAAGTGGAATAAATTGCTTTTATCACTCTGAGTTTTCAAAGGAATTAAGACTTAGAATAAATGTTTTAATAGTGGAGTACTTTTGGAAACTCAGGATACTGAACACAAAAAAAGCAACGACAAATTATTCAATGCATCCTGCAAGGTTAATGTTGACTTCAGAATGTAAAAGAATTAAAGAGCATATATTTTCTGGGATAAACACAATATCCTAAGGCTACATATCTATTTTTTATAGAATATGCCCTGACAAATGGTTTAACTAACCACCCTGTTTGGAGGAGATGTATTAAAGGTCACATATCCTCCTCCTCTTCTTCAGTGTAAATAAGTCTCAGAGCTCCTCAAAACATGTCTGTGAAGTTTCTTGTTCTGAATCCACTCTGATCCTGTATTTGATCATGTCTATAAACCCCTCTATTTCAGCTCTGCTCAGAACAGGCTGTTTCTGTGTCTGTACCTTTAAATATGTAAATGAGCTGTGTCTGACCACGCCCCTCTCTGGAAGGGCTCAGGTGTACTCGGGCTTTCTCGCTCCATGTCCTATTGTTTACGGTGAGAAGGCAGACTCAGAGGGCAGAACAAACACCTAGCTGTGGGAGTGTCACCCACCTGGGGGAGGGGTTACTGCCCTTTGTGATGTCATGAAGGGAAAATCTCCAAACGGCCTGTTTGAGAACACATTTTCTGAAAAGTGGAGCAGGCAAAAGACGGAGAGGATGGACTTTTCTCATCATTGGGGGGTTTGTAGACAGACTAGAGACACATATTAGAGTTAGAGGAACATGGTGAAGTGGATTTTGCAGACATGTGACCTTTAAGTGTGTTTCTATTGATTCAATTAATTCCTGAAGTTAGACCCCTCGTCTCCTGGATGGACATCCAGATAAAAAGCAGACTTTTAAGCCCCTTATCCTACAACACCTAACTTCAAAAGCACAGAAGAAGAATAAGCTATTGGGCAGCACCCCTCAATAATATATTTTGTAAGTTGGAAGAGTGAGCTGGTTGGATATAGCAATTGATGGTAAATATGAACAGCCACTGTATTTATTCATTTCAGGGTTATAGAAGTCAGAATTTCACCTCGCCCGTGTTAGTCAAACCCATTAGAGTGTCATGAGAACCTCAAGCGATCATGTACACGTACATCGCTGTAGTGCCCTGGTAATCACCCCGCAGGTGTATTAAACCTCAATTTCCCCCCTGAGTGATCCACAATATGTATCACCTGACACATTACTGCCTAACCCCATTTGTTCACACTTGAGCGGCCCCTCGTGCTGATTGGGTTCAACAGTTCATGATGTAACAGAAGAAGACCCCATCTGGAGACGGGTTCAGCTCCATTTAACATCCTGATTGGCCGGCTCTGGTGCCGCCCAGCCAATCA